CCTCTCACTAAACTACCATTCTCCATAATAGAAATGGCCATTCTCTTAACAAACCTTTGAGAGAATGTAGCAGTTCAGCATCATAACAGCTGGGGGTTGTGCAGTGCTGATCTAATGCGGAACAACATCTCCAAACCCCGTGAGAACACACCGAAAACACGCTGCAAGGAGCAGAAGACCGCCACCCAGTCGTGAACTCAAAAACATTAATTTACATAAAAATAGTACATACTACATCACCTAAAACCTATATCCATATTGAATCTATACTCGTTTCAACCAAAATTTTAACGCCTCCAAGATACGCTCTCCTAAACCACGACTGTTAGGTTTCCATTTGATACGCTTTTCATATGACGGCAAAATGTTTAATATAAATTACAATATAAATTAATTTAATATCGTTTAAACGTGTTTTCTTAATATCGAAATGCAGATTACTATGCTATTGGTAGATCATCTCAGAAACATGCACAAACTGCAAGCAGCACATCACCATGCGTCTCGCGCATACGCAAAATAACACGACAAACTTTCACCAATAACCTTCTCGTGCCTATTAATACCTTCTTGTTTTGTCCTGCTCAAGCGAATCTCCCAAAGACAGTGAATAAGAGCGAGCTTCTTCAAACTTCAGTCTTCGCCTCGATGCAGTCTTCAGTCTTCACCTCGACGCGCCTCTCAAGCTGGAGACAGTAGCGTTATGCCAGCGGTTAGTTTGGGTTTAGGACAGATGCTCCTCGCAAGAGTCTGGCTCAGCATCACTTACTTCGCCCTCCCCTGAACGCTCACACGCGCTGTCTGCATGCTGGATACATTCCCTACCTCCTCCTTACTTTGACAGACAAAGTGAACAACAAACAAGTATAGATTTATCTTACAGCTTTTAATGTAAATTAAAAGTTAAAAAAAAAAAAAATTTTTGCAGAAGAAATTAGCCACTTTATATAATTTTGTGTTGTTATCTGCAATGACTTGTTACTAAAATATCTTCATTAATATCTGATTTGTTGGTTCGGTGGACCTTAATAAAACACTAAAATTCATTCACGCTCAAGTGTCTGTTTGTGTTCTGTTTTTTTACCCTCATCACAATCTCTCTGTACTCGTGAAGCATAACAAGAAAAGAAACACGTGTTGCCATTAGAGAATGCGTGATGTAGAATTTCGAAATGAAGAATTGGTGATCCTGTTGCGATCCTCCCTCGAACCCTCCTGTGCCTAGCACGCTCCGACTATTATAACAAATGACAGGGGTTATGGGGGTGCTGTGAGTGACGCAGCCTCACTAACGAAGTGCATCGGTGCAAGCTGTCATTTTGTAACACTACTGCCCCCTTTTGGTATTCAGTAATATTGTCACACCTTTTACTCGAGTGGGTAATTTTTAGGATAGGTTCATAGCCACAAAAAAAAGGAAAGATACAATTCATGGTGTCACACTCAACTGGTAATGTGTGTGTGTGTGTGTGTGTGTGTATTTTCTGTATTCACTGTGTAAATTTCCTAGTAGAGGGTACATACATTACAGTATGCAGACAAATTTCTTACTAATAATCATCCATGTATGGAACCACAAGCGAAGCGTGACTTAATTAAGAGCAAAGCAGATAAATCAGTCATGGGTCTGTATCCTTGAAAATGGGAGGATAATGCAAACCTTCACATTATTTTCGAGTCATTAGGCAAGAACACAATACTCCTAGCTGTGCTGTGGCCTAAAAGCAAGTTGTACTACGCTTTAAATGTGGGCTAATTATGCAACAGCACCACATTTAGCCTGTAATGAGAAATCTCTGACTACCACAAAGACAATTAATGAGCAAAACACTCATTGGGGTAATGAGTTAAAATGAAAGTTTGTATTTGTGAAACAGACAAAGCAGCATACAGAAAAATAAACAGGTTGCTAAAGTATTTGATCCATCCACCTTTAAGAAAAGGACTGCAAATGTCAATTCTAATTCATAAGCATTGTGTAAAAGACATTTCAAAAGAAGAAAGTGAATAGTCTCTGTTGCCCTGCTAATTGTTTGCACAAGCAATGGCAGGTCTTATTGTTACAATATATTGAATGCAATGAATAGACCTTCAGTCACTCCGAAGAACAGCTGAGTCTTGCACACTAACAAAGACAGAGATCCACATGAACACACTCAGACATCAACACACATACTCGGACTATTCAGTGTAACTAATTATGACTCTCCTCACTGCATCTTTGGTCAGCTCAATAGATTGATCTCATTTGCACATTCTCCTGAGGAGGAATTACTGCCCGTTGTCTCCAATCGAGCACCTCTGTGTGAGTTCACTGCTGAAGACAGGAGGTCAGCAGGAGGTCAGCAGGAGGAAATGAATGCTTGAGTCAAACGCCTCAACCACTGCACTGACAGGCCAACACAAACATCTTAAACACAAAGAAGAAACAAAGGGTGAGAAAAAAAAGAAAAAGCAAGAAAGAAACAGAGTGAAAAAAAACACCAGTGTCTAAAAAGCTGTATTTCATAACATTATTTTATAGCATATAGACTATTTAACATATAAGCAGGCTCAAAAAAGAAATATACAGCAGGTAAAATAAGTACTGGACATGTCACCATTTTTCTCAGTAAATATATTTCTAAAGGTGTTGCTGACATGAAATTTTCACCAAACGTCGGTAACAACCCAAGTAATCCATACATACAAATAAAACTAAACAAATAAGTTCAGAAATTAAGTTATGTGTAATAAAATGGAAAAGTATTGAACACATGAAGAAAGGGAGGTGCAAAAAGGCATGAAAAGGACATGACACCAGCAGAAATCTATCAGTAATTAGAAAGCAATCCTATTAATCCAATATTAATCCAATTAATATTAGCTGGTTCAGTCCCAACACCTACAGTACCAGGATGATGAAGATGAAACAAGGGTTGACATTTCAGCAAGATCCCAAACACAGCCAAGGAAACTCTCAATTGGTTTTAGAGAAAAATAAAATAAAGCTGTTAGAATGACCCAGCCAATCACCTGAGTTGAATCCAACAGAAAATAAGAACTAAAGATCAGAGTTCATAGAAGAGGCCCACAGAACCTTCAAGATTTAATGACTCTGTGGAAGAATGGGCCAAAATCACACCTGAGCAATGCATGCGACTAGTTTCTCCATACAGGAAGCATCCTGACGCTGTCATTACCAACAAAGGTTTTTGTACAAACAAAGTATTACATAAATTTAAGTAGTTCAGTACTTTTTCCCTGTGTCATTCCATTTTATTACACATAACTTAATTTCTGAACTTATTTGTTTAGTTTTATTTGTATGTATGGATTACTTGGGTTGTTACCGACGTTTGGTGAAAATTTCATGTCAGCAACACCTTTAGAAATATATTTACTGAGAAAAATAGTGACGTGTTCAGTACTTATTTTACCTGCTGTATATATGTGTGTGTGTGTGTGTGTGTGTGTGTATACTCCAATGGTTCATTCCAATGTGCAAATAATATCAAATTTACAAAAAACATCTAAATAAACAGGATTTTGAATTATGTGTATAGAGCCAACATACAAAACCACTTAAGAAAAGAAAAGCATTTTCTGCAAACTGACTTTTTACTCAAACCTTACAGTAATATGACAACTAGTCTGTGTCCCATTCAACACAAAAACACTGGGCCGATATTCAGTAAGTTTATCACATATGCAAGTGCTTCCATCTACTGGTTGTATATATGAATAACCTATTTGACCAACATCTACGTAATTCTAATATATTAAATAATATAAATACGTTTATGAACATTTGTAATGTTTTTGAAACAAAATAGGTTTAAAAAAAAAAAAACACAGTAAGACACTCCAAAAAACAAACAAAACAACAACAAAACCTGACTTCCGCGTATATGTCCTGCTAAAGCGCGCGTTTAAACAAATGTTAATTTTCACTCAAACGGACGTTTCTGTTTATGAGGTTGAGATTTGACACTAGAAATGTTTTCTTCTAAAACTGGCTAACGTTTTTCACAAAGACTTGGATTTGAAAGGTCAGTGAAGCATCGATTTGAGTATTAATCAGAGTATATTAAATGGTTTGTCGTCACAGAAAATGTAAGGCTGCAACGGAATACAGAGCTTCTCTCTTTCAGTTCATTTCCCATACATTCAGCGTTTCATGCGCCCACATCCTGTGAGTGTGGAGTAGATCGACTGTGCAAAGCTGTCTCCAGTCATTTTCTGGAATACTGTAAGACATATCGGTGGGTTTGGTCTTGTGTGTGGGAGTACTCTGTGCTTTTGTCAATGTGACTGCTGCCAGCTATCTATGCCATGTGTCAGTGTTTCTGAAGAGATGCCACCCTAACAGAATGACACTCTATAAACAAACATCCTAATTCCATTTCACACTTTTAGATTTGTCACAAATGCTGTGACTGATTATCTTGCCATGACTTCCAAGATCCATTATATTCTAAAACATTATGCTTGCATGGGCTCATTTTGTACCCATCCAGTTTTACTAAAAAGCCTGGACAAATGAACTGAAGGTGGATGTCATTAGGTAATTATATTAAAAATTAGAGCAATCAGAAGGTTTGTCTCCAGCTAAGCGATCCATTAGATGGACGAACGGACAGATAGATAGATGTTCATCTAATCAAATTAATTTGGAACCTGTTGTAAAATTACAGATATTAAAATAATTTAGATTAAATATCGATACTACCATTCAGATGTACTAGATGATGATAGTGTGCCAAAGGCACCTGGAGAAGCACAAACAAACCTAGACCAATTCAGTGTGACAGCAGTCAGCTCCCTCAGGACCACCATGACCAAGACAACCGACAACAGCTGCCAAACACCGCCTGGCAGTGGAGATGAGGGGGAGTCAAAGCTGTGGTCTAAGCTGACTGGTACCTCATGCTATACAAAAAAATTCTCTCTCATCCAAGTCCAAATGTTTTGATGATTTTCATGAAATGTAAGACAAGACAAACACACAGCATCCTAAATCCTGTTAAGAGATGTGCTGTGTGGGGGTAAAATTTGAAACGGAAAAAGACAAATCCAGAGGGGATTAAAGGAACCAAACAATTGGAGAGAGAAAGAGAGAGTGAGAGAAAGATAGAAAGAGAGCCGTATCGGGAATAATCACAACGTGAGAGGGAGAGACGTGAGGCGGTGCTTTGAATAGGAAGCAGAGGCAAGGATGGGAAGAGATTAGTGCTGCGCTCTGTGGGCTCATCACTCAATGAAAGGACACTCTGGAAACAACAAGGGCGCTCAGCCTCAGGAGAACTGGGAAAGGTGCGAGTTTCGTTTTAGGCATATATTAAACTTACTGGAAAACGCTTTGGACTTTCTGGATGCTTTCACATCGGGATAATCTGTTCTAACAATTTCTAACCATGGATTGTTACAGCAAAGTAAGAACAGAGGAATCGGATCTAAGAAGGTTCTGAGTGACTTTTCTGGTAGGCTTTCCTGTGTATGTTGTGCTAATAGAGTAGGTTAACCAATGTAAAACATGAATTTTAAATACATGTAGTAACTGCATACTGTTTTATTCTTAGTCCGTTCCATGCCCCAGATACTGCCCATCTGCATGGTACACAGGAAATTAGATGGCCATCTGTGAAATATTGGAAGACATGACAGATGTAAAATGACCTTTCTAGGATTTAAGAGCAGAAGGCTTCCTGTATCAACTGTGCTCGCGCTGTTCCTGGTGTAATCCTTTTTTATGTGCAACCAAAAGAATGACTTCTACGTCTTGTGTGGTTTTGATCTCACTCTTGGTTCGGCTCTCGGGGGCTATTTGTCCTCAAGGCTGCCTGTGCATATCTGACATAATGAACTGTGGCTCCTTGGGTCTGGATAGATTCCCTAACCCGCTTCCATTCACAACTTCTGTCCTGGACCTCAGTCATAACAAACTAACATGGCTGGCAGCTGGCAGCTTCTACGGGCTCCCAAGGCTGCACACTTTGCATATGTCCCATAACCGCATCTCCTTGCTCAGCCCGGGAGCTTTCCATAACATCAGTAGTCTTCGATACCTGGACCTCTCTTCCAACAAATTGCAGGTGGTGGGGAAGCATCACTTCCAGGACCTGCCAGCCTTGGAGGTGTTGTTGCTCTACAACAATCGTCTTACCCGCGTGGAGAGCAACACCCTAATGGGGCTCGGCAGTCTCAGGAAGGTTTACTTCAGCCTCAACCAGATCACAGATTTCCCGTTCTTCTCGATTTGTAAGCACAGCCACCCCAACCTGGTTACACTGGACCTCTCCTCAAACCGCCTGTTTCGTTTGCCTATGGATGACATTGTGGTGTTGCCTGCTGCAGTGCAAAAAGGCCTGTTCCTGCACAACAACAGTCTGGAGTGCGATTGCTCTTTGTACCGCATGTTTTGGCACTGGGAGCAGAAGGGATATCCAAGTGTGAAAGACTACAAGGATGACTACAAGTGTCTGATCTACGGTGAGCCTCAAATCTCAATTAATTTCCTGCGCTCTTCGCACTTCTTTGAGAACTGTACCATTGGGAAGATGATATCCCTGATATCTCCGAAGGCTGAAAAAGTTGTTTACGAGGGTGAACAAGTGAGACTGGACTGCACTGGAACGCTAAACGGAGAAGACCTGTCTTACAGCTGGATCATTCCTCATCAAGAAAACATCTCTCAGCTGATCCAGAACGGATCTCTACGTCTCAATCAAGACGGTAGCTTGGATATTCTAGCTGCCCAGTCTATAGATTCGGGGGTCTACCAGTGCACTGCTGTGGATAATACGAGGATAATCAATGAATCACGAGAAGTGAATTTAACGGTGGTAGCCCAGCACGCCATGGAGGCGCCGTTCAGCACAGGCTACACCACTCTTCTGGGATGTGTGGTGACACTTGTCCTCATATTGATGTATCTGTATTTAACCCCATGTCGTTGTTGTTGCTGCAAACCTCCTCCTCCCTCTCCGGCCATCTCAAACTTTGGGGAAGACCGCTGCACTCCGGCCTCTATCTTTGCAGCTCCTTCAACCAATCGACTCAAGAGCAAGTCTCAGTCCGACAGGCACGTAGTGTTCCTTGAGCCACTCATGACAGGGAAAAATGGCCACCCAAAAGCTGCATTTGTTGTTGAACCGCCTACAATTGAATGGTACACGGAAAACTTCACCATAATTAGAGAAAGAAATGACTCTGAGTAGCAAATTTGTGACTTCAAAATCCCGCAGAATTGCTTAAGCCTGTTTGAACCATAGGGACAAGCATCACAAATTAATCTGTCATAATTCCCTAATAAATTATTTTGGTCCACAGATTTAGAGGGTGTCTCCTGTCTCACAGTATGAAGTGATCCATTTGTTTACGCTGAATGCGTGGGACTGCACTGCTAGTAATGTGATGAAAATCCAGAGCAGTGAATGTATAATTTTTTAAGACCCAAGAGCATGTGTATTGAATTTGAAGGATTGAAAGCACAAGTTTGCTCTGTAAATCTCAACAAAAGATGGTGATTGTCATGACAACAGCAGCATTTAATGTGTCTCTAATGTAGTGTTTTATTTAAGCAGAACAAAAGTTGAATCAGAGCTGCCTTTGATTCTAGTATGTGGGGCACATCTATCAGCTGGGAATATAGGGTGACTACAAGCTCTTCTTGCAAGGTTTTTCAGAAATATAGACCCCTGCCCTTTGAAGGTAGTCAAAAACATCTAGGTGTTGATTTGATACTATAAGCAGACATTGATTTAAAGAGAGGACAACAGAAGGCCTTCTGGATCCATTGACGACTGAGGTTTAATCTCTTCTTTTGCGTCATTACCATTAGATTCAGCTAATCCTTTGTCAAGAAAACATGGTGGTAAAGTTTGGTGTGGAACCATGATGGTATGCAAAAATAAATGTTCTGGTAGCTCACACCAAGCAGTTGCGAAAAGCGAAATAACTCCACAACTCGAGACATGATAAATGAAGAAAAAGTGATGTCTGTTTATGTGTGATATTATTCATCTCTGCACTTTGCATTAAGCAAATTGCTCTTTCATTACAGAGATGTGCTATGTGAGAGGATTAACACCTCTGCCAGAATTTTCCCTCCCACACCATGCACAGTATGCAAAGTAAAAGCAAAATATGAAAATGAAAGAGCACCATGGCAAAGGTACAGAGTTAATCCATGCAGCCCATTTCCAGATGTGATCAGATTTATCTGCGGCAACCCACTTTCACATTCGTAATACGTCGACATGTGTCCCGTGGCTGTTCATTTGTTGTGCAGTCCTGCCAAATGAAATGTTACCAGATCTACTCTATAAAATATAAATAAAAAAAATCACACCTATGTGATCATACACAATAATTTCTCATTAGATCTCATCCTCTTTAAGTTTATCCAAACCTGTACATCCTTAAACATCAAAACAGCATTTAAAAAAACTGATCATTTAGACTCGCCAAACAGACTGACTGATCTCGTCAACAAACTCATATTTGATGTGGTAAACATCAAGATATATATAACATTGACTGCCTCGTTACAGCCTTGCCTTTGTGCTGTGTTTGTAATACTAGTGTCGTTTTGAGAGATGACTATATCAAATGAGAAATGAGATGACCGAAGGTCAGATTTAGCAGATTACACTTTGGGGCAAAACTAGGCACTCCAGCAATTTTTCAGCCATTCTTTAATCCTTTAATCTTTTTTTTTTCTCCCTTATGCTGCTGGTGTGTTTTGGACTTATCTTTCTTTCAAACCTATACTGAACTCAGGTGGTGATATATAAAGAATGCATGTGCTTTCAGAATATAAACTGGTGAGCCACATGAAGAATTGTGCAAAATGGCATAATACACAATTCCAAACCATGCAAAAGAGTTGTTTTAACGGACAGTGAAAGATGCCTGCTAATCTTAAAACATACTTTCAACAGCCAATTCTGGAATAAAAAGCCAGATCTTCTATTAACAGGGAAAAGCACACAGAAACTCACATACGCTGGAACCAAACAACAGACAACTCTCATCCCAATCGCAACTGACGTTCACTTGGGTTGAAATATAGAAATAGCATAAAAAGTGTTTTGAACAAAATCTTACGCATTGTTTTCAGAGACATAGCCGTTTATCTGGTAAATAGTAACATTTGTGAAATGCCCTGAGGTATTTTCTACAAAACTTCAGCTAACCATATTCATATATGTCATGTACAAAGGGCAAATTCAGAGTCAGTTTTGAAATCAAGATGCATAATCTTCATTATATATTTAAACACATTAATTCGTTCTGTTTTGACAAGAAACATAACCCCCTTTAGAAAACTGCATCAGCATCAGGCCAGCAGAATCAATTAGGAAATGATGCCCTCTGCTGGCCGGCTGTAAAACCATTAGGTCGAATGTTGCCAATGCACATATAAACAACTTTGGCATTGATTAACCTCATTGGAAAAGAAAACCTGTAACCATTTTTATATAGCATCATAAATAACTGTACATTTACAAAGAGTTCACACATTCTCAACTGCGAGTTAATACTGAACACAATATCACAATGTTTGATACAACCTTGTTTTAATAGAACAGCTGTACAACCAAGAATGAAAAAAAGAAACAAAAACAGCTAAAATTAAGAATGACTCACTTTTTCTCTTTAAAAAAATATTGTCTGCATTTTGCTCCTTGTTCACAAACCATTTTTTTTGTTGAAAATCTGAACGAAAAGTATTGACAAAAATTAAACATTGAAAGGCAATTACATTTCTTGGCAATATAAATATAGTGGTATGAACAAGGTTTTTCAAACATTTTGTTTAGGAAGAGCATTACTGAAAACAGTGAAAATCTGGCCAATGTCTGAGTCACCAATCTCAGTCATACAAAACCAGATTTTGTATGATGTTTTTTTTTTTTTTTTTCCCCAAACGATATTTTGATTTGATGTGCTCTTAATGTTAAATATGTACATTCCTAATGCCAGTAGTCTATAGGGCATCCCTATGGCATTTAGTTATAGGTGTAGTCCGAATAGTAGTCTGACCGACCACCCCCTCCCCTCCCAGGGGGATAACCCCAGTTACAGGATGGGCCCCCTCTCATGTGACCCCGACCCGGTCTAGATCTCATGGGATGTGGCGGTACTCCTCGACCCCTGAAACCACCACGCATCATATCAGGATGTCCCCCTCTGGGACTGTACATGCTATTGTTGTGTCCGCCTTGGCACAAGGCTCCCATTGCGGCTCCAGGGATGGGTAAGAGGCCTCTGCTGGCAGTGCCGCCCCTGGTGGGAGGGGCTTGACTGCCACCCTGACTTTCAGAGGACGAGTTCACTGGAGTTCTGCTGCCTTGGCCGCATGAGGTTGAACTACCCAGTGCACCTCTTTTCTCTCCACCGGCCTCCTGCTGGACCACTTTAGAAGTCGCTGAAGTAGGGGCACCTTCTTCCTCTTGTCCACGAGCGGTTTCGCTCTCAGTGGCTCCCACCCATGATCCATCAGCAGGCCTTGCGGCCTCAGTTTGGGTGGAAGGTAGAGCGCCGAATCCTGCCCCACTCGGTCTAGCCGTGTAACCCTGCTGGGCTCCTGGTGTAGGACCCCAGCCGAAAAGCGGTGGAACAGGGGGAATTGGAGTAAGGGCTGGAAAAATAGTATCTGGGTAGGAAGGAAAAGTGGTGTGAAGAGAGGATGAGGAAGAAGTAGTGGATGAGGAAGCAGACTCTACACCTATCTTAGCAGTTTGAGAGCCAGCAAGTCCTAACTGATTAGCAGTGCTTGCCGCTGCCGCCCCAGGCACTCCCACGCTGTCAGGAATGGGTAGGGACTGTCCAGGCGGCTGAAGAGAGGTGGCTGATTCTGGAATAGAAGGCACCTCCACTGAGCTAACTGGGGGCTGAGGGAGGGAATGGGGAACGGTGAGTGGTTGAGCAACGGGTATGGTGGAGGTGTTTGTTGGAGGTTGGGTCCCAGGAGGAGCAACAGTTTGGCTGTACTCTGATCCCCTGGAGGCCACGCTAACTGGAGACGAATATGCCAAGGACATATGGTATGCGGGAGAACCAGAGTAAGGGCTCCACTGTGCCGAGCTGGGACACAGGTAGCTCTGGTGGGGGTTCACACCGAAACTGGCCAGGGTGTCCTCTACATCAGGCCTAGATGTGCTCTCCTGACTGGCAGCTTTATATTGAGCGATAGCAGACTTCAGAGCTGCATAATCAGTGGAGAAAGAGGTCTGGGTAGGGTAAGCGGAGGGGTTTGGTGGTACAAGTGGATCGCTAATGGGGTCCACACAGGGTTGGTCAGGGAGAGGAGGACGAAATCCATCGGTCTGGGGTGGAGGGGGCTGAGGTGCCTGCGGTTCCTGAAGTTCATTTTCAGTCTGAATGGACATCTCTGTGATAATGGGCATGTCATCTTCAGAGTCTATAGACATGTCCTCCTCATCTCGAACCGCATCAGGCTCCACTGAGCAGTCAAAGAGAAGATAGTGTCAAAATTTAAATCTATAATTTCTTTCAGAATTTTGTCAGGAAAAGTAAAGGACTGTGTTTTTACCTGGTTCAGGTAGGGCAGCAACTACTACTTCTTCAGGGACAGTGATCAAACTCTGGAAGTTGTTCATGATGTCATTCATACCAGCAACGATGACTCCACTACCGGAGAACTGGGAGAATGTTTCATCGTGCTTTTCTGTATACGAACACAGCACCAAGAAACTTAAACTTAACAGACAACTCCACACACCAACATTCATATACACCAGAACTTCAACTAGACCTGTTCCACGTACCTGTGAGGAAAATGAGGTGTCGAAGCTGTGTGTGCTGAGCTTGCAGCTTGACCAGACAGTCCAAATCAGGAGCCTGCCTAGATGGAGTGTCACACTCGTGATAAGGCAGAAACTCCACCAGGTGTTTCTTCTGGTAGGTCGTCAGCAGGTTCAACAGATTCAGGGCCTCAGTATTTAACCTGTGAAAGGGAGGATGTGTGAGATATTGGAGACTAGGAGTCTGTCAGGATTGGCAAAACACATTAATCCATTTGTCTCTAACCTGCTGAGCTCTTTAAGCTTCTTCTGAGTCTTACAGTGCACCTTCCACTTCCAAGGTGAGCCCTGTTCCTCCAGGAACTTGAGAAATGCCTGTAGCTTCTCTGTATACATAAACGTCAATGTGCAAAGTCTCAATCTTTTCTTGCATATTGTAACAATTTGAATTTTAAAAAATACATTTGAAAAAAAACGTAGGGTGGGAGTTGGTTCTGGACATCAGTTGATCTAATAAAGGCAGCACTGAATGCAAGAATTGAATTGCAAGAAAAGGGTGGTTTAAAGCAGATATACATCTCCGGAGAGGTCTGCCATTTCATCGGAAGATCAAGCTACTGTGTTTGTTTGAAAATTATCCATTTAACATAGATTGATAGATAGATAGATAGATACATGCATAGATGAATCATTCTCAATAAAATCATTAAGATGCATTTAGAAACTAGAGTGAATTTCTATTTCATGCCGTCTTTAACAATACACGTTCACACATCAAGAGGCAGATCTTTTCAACAAGCCTGAAGATTTTGTAAACCCCTCTACAATCTACCTTTAGCTCTCACCTAGTGTTATACTGTCAGGGTTGAGAACGAGCTCATCTGACACAATGAGTCCTCCAGACACGAAAAGCTCATTGTATGTGCGATTTTTCACATCATCCAGGCTGTCCACTCCAGCAAAGTAAACTGTGGGCAATTTCTTCAGAGACACCAGTGCTGGAATCTAAATGGAGAATAGAGGGAACAGTGCCTTAAAACAGATGCTTCTCAGTTTGCTTCGTACAACTAATTAACTAGTTAAAAAAACATAAGTTTAAAGTGGTGAGTTATTAAGTACCTTATGTACATGAGCGGCTATATCCTCATTCTGAATAATGATCATGAACTTCTGCTGACTTTTACTCTCCAGGTAATTCTGAGGGTTGCAATCAATATTGCCAAGGCTGCGTAAATACTCCTGTAAAACCAAACAAATGAGGTTAAAGATAAGGTGTTTCAAAGGTTGCTCAAATGTATCAGGCCACACTGAATATTCTGAAACATTATACTTTCAGACCTTGATCTCAGTGCAGAGTTTGCTCTCCTCATCTCCTCTTTGAATGTAAAACTTTACTGCATTTTTCTGCATGATCTCCATCAGTGTGCACAAAACATCAGGCTTGATTTGCCCAATAACGCTGCTTCCCACAGTGCTTGAGGTTCCTGCATGAGTAGGCTCTGAGGGAATCTCTGGGACTGAAGCAACTGGAGGTTGACTGGCACTTCCAGCTAATGGGGAGCACATAGGATTTTCCACAACATCTGTACTCTTGTGGTCAGCTGATTTTTCTGCTGAAAACAGGTGGACCTCTTTGACAGTGCCGAGGCGATTCTTGCCTGAAGGAGGAGGTTTAAGGGTAGCTTGCGGCTTGCTCCACAAAGCCTGAGACTTAGGCACTGGAGATGATGTTTTAGTGTGAGGATGAGCAGGAGGTGAGGGCAGCGTGGGTTGGGCAGGAGCTGGCATGGCAGAAGTGGGCGGAGCAGGTGGCAAGGGGGCGGGCACTGGGGCAACAGCAGGTGGTGACACAACAGCCACGGGTTGTACAGATGCCCTGGGAGCCCGGATCAAATGGTTCATCTTTTCACAGAGTGTGTTAACGTAGCTCTGCACAGGCATTGATGAGACATATTTGGATACAAAAGGTGAGAATGCCGA